GAAGAAGAAGAAGAAGAAGAAGAAGAAGAAGAAGAAGAAGAAGAAGAAGAAGAAGAAGAAGAAGAAGAAGAAGAAGAAGAAGAAGAAGGGCTCTTCTTATGTTCTTAGGAGGCTGAACTAGATGGACCACTGGTCTGATCCAGCAGGGCTCTTCTTATGTTCTTAGGAGGCTGAACTAGATGGACCACTGGTCTGATCCAGCAGGGCTCTTATGTCTTGGGAGGCTGGACTAGATGGACCACTGGTCCGATCCAGCAGGGATCTTCTTATGTTCTTAGGAGGCTGAATTCGATGGACCACTGGTCTGATCCAGCAGGGCTCTTCTTATATTCTTAATAAACTGGACTAGATGGACGACTGGTCTGATCCAGCAGGGCTCTTCTCATGTTCTTAGGAAGATGGACTTGATGGACCAGTGGTTTGATCCAGGAGGGCTCTTCTCATGTTCTTAGGATGCTGGACTGGATGGACCACTGGTCTGATCCAGCAGGGCTCTTCTTATGTTCTTAGATGGAGCACTGGTCTGATCCAGCAGGGCTCTTCTGATGTTCTTAGATGGACCAGTGGTTTGATCCAGCAGGGCTCTTCTGATGTTCTTAGGATGCTGGACTAGATGGACAACTGGTCTGATCCAGCAGGGCTCGCCTTATCTTCTTAGGATGCTGGACTAGGTGGACCACTGGTCTGATACAGCAGGGCTCCTCTTATATCTTAGGAGGCTGCACTAGATGAACCACTGGTCTGATACAGCAGGGCTTGTCTTATGTTTTCATGAAGGCCTCGGCCTCTATGCCCTGTTGTTGGCCCTGCAGAGGGACAGGTTGTCCACTGTGTGAGACAGGATGCTGAACTAGATGAACCACTGGTCTGATCCAGCAGGGCTCTTCTTATGTTTTTATGAAGGCCTTGGCCTCTATGCCCTGTTGTTGGTCGTCCAGAGGAACTGGTTGGCCACTATGTGAGACAAGATGCTGGACTAGATGACCATTGGTCTGATCCAGCAGGGCTCTTCTTATGTTCTTATCATGAGGAGAAGGCCTCGGCCTCTATGCCCTGTTGTTGGCCCTGCAGAGGGACAGGTTGTCCACTGTGTGAGACAGGATGCTGGACTAGATGACCATTGGTCTGATCCAGCAGGGCTCTTCTTATGTTTTCATGAAGGCCTCGGCCTCTATGCCCTGTTGTTGGCCCTGCAGTGGGACAGGTTGACCACTGATGCTGGACTAGATGGACCACTGGTCTGATCCAGCAGGGCTCTTATATGTTCAAGATCTTCTGATTGCAAATGACAAAAATTAGAAGTAGTAGAAGAAAAGTTGGATTTATACCCCGCCCTTCACTTGGAGTCTCAGAGAGGCTTACAATCTCCTTCCCCCCCCTCCTCTCCCCACAACAGACACCCTGTGAGGTAGGTGAGGCTGAGAGAGCTCTTTCGAGGACTGCTCTTGAGAGAACAGCTCTGAGAGAACTTGTGACTGGCCCAAGGTCAGCCAGCTGGCTGCATGTGCAGGAGTGGGGAATCAAACCCGGTTCCCCAGATTAGAGTCTGCCGCTCTTAATCACTACACCAAATCCTTTCTTTTTACGAAGGAAAGGGAAGGAATGCAATCCTGAAAAGAGTTACGCCTTTCCTAAATCCGTTAAAGTCAATGAGATCTGAAGGGTGTCCCTCCCTTGAGGACTGAGCTGTAAACTGTGACTTATCTCAGATTCATTTCTGTATCTTGAAGGCCGAAATCCTAAGAACACTTTCCTGGGAATAAGCCCCACTGAATAAAATGGGATTTATGTTAGAACAGATCTAGTTTAGGATAGTTCCCAATCCCAAAAAAACGCATAAAGTGAGGGTTCGGTAACACGTAAACGTCTCTTTGATTATTTAGTCTGAAAGGTTTCGACTTCTTTTCCATCGCTCCAGAGCCGGTCGGCCAAATATTATTAAAATACAGTAAAAAAAAAAAAAACCCACAAGATGGAGGCTGACAAGGAATTGTTGAAGGGGGTAGGGGGCAACATCTGGAAATCTTTCCCCAAGTCTCCCCTTCTAGGGGTTTAAGAGGTGCCTCCTGTCTCCTCCACTTGCTTTTCCTTTAGCCGACCCTCTGCTTCTCTCTGACTTCCGTTCTCTCTGGAACATGGCTCGTCCTTGTCGGACTGCCCTCGCCCGGCCTGTAGCCAGGATTTTTTAAGTCAGGGGGGGCATTTAAATGTCTTGGGGGGCACTGGCAAATTGAATTAAAGGAATACCCAATTCCTTCCCCACATCTGCCACCGCTTGGGGGGCCTGGGCTGGATGGGAGGTCATGGGGGCATTGCCAGTAACTCAGGGGGCCGAGCCCCGAGATGCCCCCACTGTAGCTAGATATGATAAGAAGAGATTGGATTTATACCCCGCCCTTCACTACCCAACGGAGTCTTAGAGCGGCTTACAAACGCCTTTCCCTTCCCCTCCCCACAACAGATACCCTGTGAGGTAGGTGGGGGTGAGAGAGCTCTTGACAGAAACTGCTCTTTTTCAAGAACAGCCCTTATCAGAACTACTGCTTGCCCAAGGTCATCCAGCAGGTGCAAGTGGAGGAGTGGGGAATCCAAACCCGGTTCTCCCAGATTAGAGAGTTCTCTCTACACCAAGCTATGGGCCTGCCCCCCCCTCTTTATTTACAAAGTCATAATCCATCATCCTGTTTCCGAAAGTGGCTGACCAACTGTCATTGTAAGGCCTACCAGAATGAGACAGGGGCCTACGCCCTCATCCGTTGTTGCCCTCCCCAGCATGGATATTCAGAGGTGTACTGTCTCTGAATCTGGGGGTTCCATTTCGTCACCATGGATCATAGCCACTGATGTATTTGACAAGTTCCTTTTAAAAATCTGGCTAAACTAGTGCCCATCGCCCCATCCTGGGGAAGCTAATCCCACAAGCCAGTCATTCTTTAAACGAAGATGGACTTTGTTTTGCCTGCTTCGGAGTTATTGGCCGCCGATTTCATTGGGGGGGGGGTTGTCTCCAAGCTTATTGTTTTTACTGTATTTTTAATGTGTTTTAGAGAACAGCTCTGAGAGAACTTGTGACTGGCCCAAGGTCAGCCAGCTGGCCGCATGTGCAGGAGTGGGGAATCAAACCCGGTTCCCCAGATTAGAGTCTGCCGCTCTTAATCGCTACCCCAAATCCTTTCTTTTTACGAAGGAAAGGCAAGGAATGCAATCCTGAAAAGAGTTACATCTTTCTAGATCCATTAAAGTCAATGAGATCTGAAGCTCTCTCAGCCCCACCTACCTCACGTGGTGTCTGTTGTGGGGAAAGAAGAAGAAGAAGAGAAGAGATTGGATTTATACCCCACCCTTCACTACCCAAAGGTGTCTCAGAGCGGCTTACAAACTCCTTTCCCTTCCCCTCCCCACAACAGACACCCTGTGAGGTCGGTGGGGCTGAGAGACCTCTTGACAGAAACTGCTCTTTTTCAAGAACAGCTCTTATCAGAACTACGGCTTGCCCAAGGTCATCCAGCCAGGTGCAAGTGAAGGAGTCGGGGAATCAGACCCGGTTCTCCCAGATTAGAGTCCACACACTTAACCAGTACACCAAACTGGAAGGGAAAGGAGATTGTAAGCTGCTCTGGGACTCCTTTGGGTCGTGAAGGGTGGGGCGTAAATCCAATCTCCTCCTCCTCCTCTTCTTCCTCCTCCTCTTCTTCTTCCTCCTCCTCCTCCTCCTCCTCTTCTTCTTCTTCCTCTTCCTATTATGGGTGAGGAAGAAAAAGTTCTCTCTACCCACTTTTGCCTCCCTGCCTATAATTTAACAAACGTCTGTCAGATCGATCCAGAGGGCAGCCATTTTGGTCCTCCGTAGAACAATTAGATTTGAGTCCAGCATCAGCTCAGAGACCAACAAGCTTATTGCGCTTTCAACATTCAAAGGGAGCTTTGACTTCCACAAGCTTATACCCCAAAAATCTTGTCGGTCTCTAAACTTCTATAATGGTATCAGCGGCTCCAATAGCCCTGACTAGCCTGAGGTTGTCAGATCTCGGAAGCTAAGCAGGGTCGGCCCCGGTTAGTACTTGGATGGGAGACCACCAAGGAAGTCCAGGGTTGCAACGCAGAGGCAGGCCATGGCGAACAACCTCTGAGCGTCTCTTGACTTGCAAACCCCATGAGGGGTCACCATCACCATTGGTTGGTTGTGTCTTAATGACACTTGATTATTACTATGTCGCTGTGATGCACAGCCATCTATCGTTGAGCACTGATCTTTCTGCTGGGGTGTCTCCTTATAGGATCTGGATGAATTGCTGGACTTTGAGATGGACGGATTCGTTTTGCGATCCACACCGAGAAATGGCAGATATCAGGTACAGTTGCTTGCTTGTATGTGTTTAGAAAGAACAAAGAGAAGAAAGAAAGGAAGGAAGGAAGGAAGGAAGGAAGGAAGGAAGGAAGGAAGGAAGGAAGGAAGGAAGGAAGGAAGGAAGAAAGGAGGAAGGGAAGGAAAGAACAGTGGGGGGGAAGGAGGGAGGGAGAGATAAGAAGAAACAGAGAGACTTGTGGGTTTCTCCAGTGGGTCAAGCAAGATCCCGTTGGGACCATTTCAGGTTTGGAAAACGAGTCAGAGTAGGGGAAGGCGGAACCCTTCTGTATGGTCTCCATATTCACAATCTGAATCGGACCCCACGCATGCAGGAATTGAATGGAACCCACAGTTCTCATATGACTATTGCACAGGATGTTAGCTGAGGACCCAGACAGACCCTATGTCGTCTTTAATGCGTAAAGAGGAGTTGAGGGGAAAAGACGTCGGAGAGGATATCCACCTTTTATTATTCGAGGTCTAATAACAGAACAGTTGAGATTGATAAAACTATTCGGGAGTGGAAGGGTTAAATCTTCTCCCATGGCCGTCTGGCCGTCTCCCGTGAGGTTCTGATCTGCATTGGGGCCCTTGCATGGCTGCTATTGGCCTTTAAAAATTGCTGGGAAGTTGGAGATGTAAGTCAAACGTGGGGACCTTTTACCACATGTGGTGGAATTGTAATAAAATTCAAACGTACTGGAAAAGGGTTTATAAAGTTATCTCAGAAATATCGAATATAGATGTTATGTTAACCCCAGAAACATACTTGTTGAATATAATACCAAAAGGTTTTGATAAGCAAGATGTATACTTATTAGTGTATATTATAACAGCTGCAAGAATCCTAGTGGCTAAAAATTGGAAAATGGATAAAATACCCTCAAAAGAGGACCTAGTAGTAAAATTATTAGAACTAGCACAAATGGACAGTTTAAGTCTAATGCTTCAAGAGAAAGACGAAAAAATACAGGATAGAAGATGGTCAAGGGTTTATTATTGGATTAATCATGTAAAAATGTAATATGAAAAGAGATAATAGTGCGATATATGACATGTCATCTGATTTAAGACTCTAAATATATATGTAATCAAGAGAAATGTTTGTAATTAGATTGAAAATATGATCAATAAATTTATTTTAAAAAAATTGCTGGGAAGTTTCAACCAGGGATCGCCTGGGATCTCACCGGGTGAGCTCCTTCTAGTAGATTTGAGTGACAGCATTTGTTTAAAGTGTGGGAGGCGTTTCATCCGGGTGTGCAGCCCTGGAAAGGAGTTGTTCGTGATACGTGCCGTTCGATGGCTAGCTGAGAACCGAGGGATGCAACTGTTTAATTTGTGGAACGAGGAAGGGATGTCCTTTGATGTTTGCCTTGGCACAAGACTGTCTCACTGTTGTGGTCAGGATAATCTTAATATTAAAGGAACCAGGATAGGAAATGGTCATTCCTGGCCACCAGCAGTCCTTTGGGCAGCTTCCCACCCGGAAGTTTCCCAGGGAGTTAGAGGTCTGATCTATCCCTGGTATCAGTTCATTACATTTGTTTGTTTGTCTATTCTTTCTATTTCTATTCTGCTCTCCCCCACTATCGTGGGGCTCAGAGTGGATTACAACTAGGGTTGCCAGGTCTGGGTTGCAAAATACCTGGAGACTTTGGGGGTGGGTCCGGGAGAGGGCGGGGTTTGGGGAGGGGAGGGGCCTCAGCATGGTACCGTGCCACGGAGTCCACCCTCCAAAGCAGCCGTTTTCTCCAGGGGAGCTGATCTCTGTCAGCTGGAGATCAGTTGGAAAAGCGGGAGATCCCCAGGTCCCACCTGGAGGTTGGCAACCCTGATTACAACAAAAGTGGCCATGAGCTGGCCCTGGAACTGAAGAACGGACATAGCGTCAGGGGTCATTTCCTACAGGAGCGCACAGGAGCGGAGCTCCGGCAGTAAAGAGCCCAGGGGGCGGGCAGATGCAACAAGCCCCACCCCCTGCTCCCAGCAGCCCTCTGTCAGAGCAAGAAGTAGCTAGGTAAGTTGCAAAGCCCCCCACCCCGGCTCCCCGGTACAAAAGAGTCCCGTGGCACCTTTAAGACCAAGTTTTATTCAGGTACAAACTCTCCCTCCTCTGCGAGGACAGATCTGCACGTTCCCCCTCCCTCCCAATAGCTAGCAATTCAAAACAGTCCAGTGGAGCCTGAGCGGTGGGTGTTGCCTTCTGACACACTTCCGGTGAGGTCAGGGGGTGTGGCATACACAAATAAGTTATGCTAATGAGTTATGCTAATGAGTCCCTGCACCTCTTTTTCTACGAAATGACCCCTGCATAGCGTAGACTGATCAAGTAGAGCTAGTAGAATTTTGAAACATTGTATTGGAGCCCCCATCTTGTATGTTGGTTTGTGAGCACCGATTTTGAATGTAAATGTAATCGATTGTTTTATCTGGTTTTTATTGTCATGTATGGCAATTGCCTCCTCTCAGCCGCCCTGAGCCCATGTGGAAGGGTGGGATATAAGTCAAATAAATAAATAATAAATAATAAATAAATAATAAACAGTTTAAAATACAGTTAAACATATAAAATAACAGATTCAGATAATGTACAATTAATCAGATGGTGTATATAATAACATCATCACTGTCTCCGGTGGGGAGGAGAGGCAGGAAGAACTATATAAGTGGGAACTCACCTGGCGTCACCCGCACGCTTGGTGGTACATCTCCATTTTACAGGTCCTGTTGACCTGCCCTTTTTATCAAATGAATCACTCAGGGCTCTTTATGTAGCAGGAACTCCTTTGCATATTAGGGAGTAAAGGTAAAGGTAAAGGTCCCCTTGCTCGAAAGCCAGCCGAGTCCGACTCTAGGGTTGCGGTGCTCATCTCCGTTTCAAAGCCGAAGAGCCAGCGCTGTCCGAAGACGTTTCCATGGTCATGTGGCCGGCACGACTAAACACCAAGGCGCACGGAACGCTGTTACCTTCCCACTGAAGAGGTACCTATTTATCTACTTGCAATTTCTTGCTTTCGAACTGCTAGGTTGGCAGGAGCTGGAACTAGAGACAGGAGCTCACTCCATCATGTGGCAACCTGGGTCTCAAACTGCTGAACTACCGACCTTCCACAGCCTGCAGTTCAGCGTCTTAACCACTTGAGCCACTGCAGCTCCAGTATTAGGGAGACACACCCCTAATGTAGCCAATCCTCCAAGAGCTTACAGAGCTCTTCTTACAGGGGCTACTGTAAGCTCTTGGAGGATTGGCTACATTAGGGGTGTGTCGCCTAATATGCAAAGGAGTTCCTGCTACAAAAAGAGCCCTGCGAATCGCTCAAAGTTGATCTCCCCCCTGCTTAATAGAAACCCTGGGTGTTCAAATCCAGGATACCTTAAAATGTTGCTCCTGGAAGAAAACCCGCAGGTGACGGCACTTTTTGTGAAATTCTGTGCAGCAGCCCACAAAACTCAACTGAACGTTCAAGAAAGAAACATATTTTCTTGATATGTATGTATATGTATGGCATATGTATAATTTTATAAATGTTACGTCTTAAAGGTTAAAATCCTTCTCTCATAATATATCCCTAAGTATTGTTGGAAAGTTATTTAAAATTTCTTATACAAAGTTTATTATAGTTTTATCTGAAACTTTTAACGATTTGGGGGTGATGACTACGGTGTATTTTATTCTGTGTTTCATGCTGGTGTAATACGGTAATAAATGACTTTGAACTTTGAACTCAGTCCCGCAGGGCCCGGATCTCGCCCGGAAGTGCATTCCACCAAACTGGGGCTACCACCAAAAAGGCTCTAGCACTTGTTGAGGCCGGGCAAATATTCCCTGGCCCTGGGACCATCAGTGTGTTGGTATTTGAAAAGCGTAGTACACAGAGGTCATTTTGGGGGGGATCGCGGGGGATCGCAGTTCCCCCAAGTGAGGTACGGGGGGCGGGGCACATGACGAAGCCCCGCCCCCTGCTTCCGGCCGCCCCGCTTCCGGCCCTCATTCAGCCAGGAGGAGGCAGGAGAAGAGGGAGGGTAAGTTGCTTCCTCCCTGCCTCTCCTCACCCCTGCCTGCCTGGGGCCAGGGAGGGCCTTCGCGGGGCTTCCTCGCACCCTCATGGGGCTCGCAGTGGAGCTGCAAGGCTGCCGGCGGCGGCCGGGACCGCTGGGGACGGGGTGTGTGGCCTTATGACACACTTCCGGTGATGTCAGGGGGTGTGGCATATGCTAATGAGTTATGCTAATGAGTTCCCCTAGCTC